ACTGACTGTGTTACCAAATTTTTTTGATTTTTTTTGTTTTTTATAACTATGGTAATATATTTATTAATTAAAATATATTTATTTAAAAAATTTTTAAATCTAAACTATAGAAATAATTTTAAATCTGAATTCAAAAGATTCCAAACTCAAACCAACTCTAATATAATAAATTGCGATTTATTATAAGATTATACATACTTCCAAGAATAATCATCTTCACTTTCTATTTCAGTTATAATTAGGTTAGCAGCTTCTTTTGATGTTATATTCTGGGTATTAGTATTCATATATACCAACAGATATGTATAATAAGCTATATTGGCAACTCTGTTGATGCTTATATCAGCTGTCAGATTTCATATTTCATTTTCGATGAAATCTCCCAAATTAAGGAAGTCAACTTTAATAGGTGCGGTATTATCAACATGCTCAATATGCTCAATATGCTCAATATGCTTAATATACTTAATATGCTCAATATGCTCAATATGCTCAACATGCTCAACATGCTCAATCTGCTCAACCTGCTCTACCTGCTTTACTTGATCAATAGTTTTCAATAGCTCTGTATATATAGGTTTGGTTAAACGATCCTGTTTTCTTCGGTCATGATTTTTTTTGCATTCATTGCGAGTCTTATGATGAGTATTACCCCAGATGAATTGTTCAAGATGCAATAGATTTTGTATTCTGATCAAAACTTCTTCATTTAGATTTGTGAACTGTTGTTTATATAATTGAAATATGGCCTCAAGTATTCAATACAAGATATGTTAATACATGTATATTTGAGCCTGAACCTTTGAAAAAATATTGATTTTGAGCTATAGTGAAAGCTATAGTTAATATTTATAAGAAATAGTTAAAGCAAGCTAACAGATATACTTTTATTATGAAAATTAAATAGATAATTGTTTACAATTCAAGGAGGTATGATTGATAAGTTAGAAAATATTATACTGAACAATTATTAGAATTATGAGAAAAGTGACACCATTAATTAATGAATGATATTATACTTTAAATATCTATACTATTGTTTGTAAATTTGATAGCGTTGCATTATTTTTATATCATACATTCGCAATTCTGATATCTATTTTGAAGAATCTTTAAGATGAAAATATAATCAGAATGTAAGCAGCTTATAGATAATTAAACTAATTTATTTAAAGATTGGCTTAATTTAAATCAAGATTTAGTCAAAGCATCTCTTTTTTGTTTGAACTACATTTTACTGTAACTATTTATTATTATTTGCCTTGAAAGAGCCACAGCTGTTTGTTACAGGTTAAGGAAGTACTAATTATGAAGCTGATTAGAGGTGATTTGATAGTTGTATGTTCAATAATTAAAGGGAAATGCTAAATTTTTTTTTTTTTTACTTTATTTAGATAATGAATTTTTAATATTATTAAGCCAATTATTTAATTCTATTATGTGATTAGTTATCTATTGTCTGATTATTGTTTGTAGTACATTTCGTAGATTGCTCATGGTCTGTTTTATAATATGCAAAGAATAATATAATGATATGCAGAGGCAATTAAATGCCGATAGCCAGAATGCATACAGAAAAATAATATATACAAAAAAGAAAATCGACAAAAAGATACGTAGTAATTTTGAGTTAGGGTATTACAGTTAAATTTACAAGTAAATATACAATAGTTGTCTTTATAGAGTGATTATCTATAAGGCACGCTACCATTAGTAATCAGACAATGGATAACTACTTGGGAAGAAGACTGAATTTTTTACTTGAAAGCACTCTAAAGGTTATTGTCAACTATTTATAAATAAGGTGCACTTGAGTGATTCTCTATATCATGGGCAGCAGGTTTTTTTTTTAGAGTGCTGAGAATTTATTCATATTTAATTACTTTATAGAAGCAATGCAATAATAATTAAATAAAATTGAAAAGTTTTGTATATTTATATACAATTAATTATTTTTTTATAGATATAATGTAATCGAATTAAAGATAAATAACCAAAAGATAAGTGTGATTTCAACAAATTAAAGATACAGCAAGCTAGAATCCAAAGGTAAGTTTAGCAACTTCAGGATGATATTTTTATTTTACTATTTTTATAGGAACAATATAATTATTAAATAAAATTAAAGGTTCTGTGTAGTGCTCGACAAAATCAAGTAAAAATTTGATAATCAAGTATTTGATTGTCTAATAGTAGTATAAATCAGTCTTAATTCTTTTAGTAAATCTAACGAATTGCTAATAATTTTTGCATAACATACATTTATACGTACATAAGGCAGCAATTCATTAGATTTACTAAAAGTTTTAAAATCCTACTATCGCTATTAGATGCTCAACTTAACTTAATCAAGTACTTGATTATCAAGTTTTTACTTGATTTTGTCGAGCACTAGTTCTGCACCTAAAATTTAGCAACTTCAGAACGATGCTACAATATCTATTTAATAAACAATTTGCTTTATTGATAATACGTTATTTATTGTAATATTTAATTATACTCCTCTTATGAAAACTATTGTAATTAATAATGTATTTTTTCATTTTAAACAAGTGTAAATAATATATGCGAATTTATTGTTGCCAACAATACATTTAACATAAGGATGAGAAAATAATGAGGTTATTTTTAACTTTTTGTATTAATGAAATGAAAGTATTTTATAGTTCTGTAGATTGGTAAAGTGAAAAGCGAATTGGTTAAAATAGTGCTGTGGCTGTGACTACAGCTGCAGTATAGATCATGTGACCTATTTTTGGGGTGGTCACCCTGGATGCCTCCTGTTTTTATGGTCTTGTGTATAAAATAAGTTTGAGCAAAGGCCAGATAGAGTAGATTTAATCACATAGTTTTTGTAATATTTGGAATAGGTAAGATTGAGAAAAGTTTTATAATTAAAACAATCGAAATATTTGTTGATTATGTCGTCACAGTAAAGAATATTTTTATAGTTTTCTTAATCATCTTGGTTGTTATTGCTATTTAAAATATTGTTCAGTAAATGGATGGGTTTAACAGAGAGGAAATGCAGTTCAGAGGATATAGAGGGAAGGTATTGTACTCTTATTAAAGGATACTATAATAAGAGTACTATCAACTCCATCGCACTTAGTCTTTGTGCTAATATATGTTTTTGATAATTACTGATTCATCGATATCAAATAATTCAGATAGTTTTGCTTTCATTATATATTTTGTAATATATTTAGCAAAACTAGTTGAGATAATATATTGGAAGTTTATATGTGCATACCAAATAAGCAATGTCTCAGGATGGTACAAGACAACGTATCTGTCTTTTTCTTTAACGTGACGATAAATATAGCGTAATTGGTTCAGTGAATAATGAGTTGTGTCAGATAAGAGTTGAGAAAAACTTTTTGAGCATTGTATATCATTAGAATACTGATTTCTATATTTTGATTGCAGTAATGTATTTGAAATCTAGTTATTAGATTATATAAATCGGGTTCAGTATTAGGATTAGAAATGTCTGCACAGATAGTATTTAGTGAGATAAGTTCTGAGATATTTTTTTCAGTATAAGCAAAACCATGAATATGTATTGTTCTTCTGTTTTGAAATTTATTACGTTCAAAATAATATAACCATTGTCCCTATTGAACTAAATTAGAATTTTTTCATAATTTTTAGGAATGTTGTTTAAATGGTTTTGATAATGTAAATATACATATAACAAGTGATTAGTTGAATAGTGTCATTATTATCAGCAGAGTGCAGAATCATGGTTAGGTGTGACTACTTGTCTTCAGCCATGGTCAAGGTAAAAAATAACTGAGGTTGACTATATGTGCTTAACATAGTATTAACTTGAAGTTGTTTTTTTTTTAAAAAAGGAGCAGCTGTTCTCAAGTTTAAATGTAGCGTTATCATTTTAGATTCGTTCAGTATATTTCAGTTTTTATAGAAACTTTTAATAATCAAATTTGCTTGTGTTGAATGGTGTTCAGGTTAATATTTTGGGTTGCTAATAGTCTATGTTGATTTTGAAAATTGTGTATTTTTTCAATATTTAAGTATGACCAGTGAGGCCAATGCCAATATAATCGAAAATGAGGGTCATGGCATAACATTCTTAGTTTAATGTATTTTCCATAACTGTTAGTTGACAGTTGAAAGTTTAGAAGCTCCTTAATGTCTTTATAATGACCTCAACTCAACAGAAACAAATCAAGAAAAATTAGAGCTTTGAGGTTTAGATCAGAGAACAAAATAAATTGCTTAGTATTATTATTTATTATTGAACCAGCTATTAAGCGATTATAATTTGAGTCTTCATTATGAATTTCTTGAGGAAACGAATCGTTTGAGACAACTAAATTAAGGGGACAAGGTGTTTCATTAGGAAGAGTACTTCGATAAATATTCGAGGGTGCAACTAGAGTTGCAGGTGAAACAAATCTTTAATGGTGCACCAATTACCACCAATCACCAATCACCAATCAGCATTGGTGAAACTGGTGAAACTGGTGGTATTGGTGAAACTGGTGGTAATGGTGAAACTGGTGGTATTGGTGAAACTGGTGGTGATGGTGAAACTGGTGGTATTGGTGAAACTGGTGGTATTAGTGAAACTGGTGATTAGTGTTTTGAGATTCGGGTTTGGGTCAACCTAGGTTTAGACTTAAACCCAAATATAAACTCAAAACAAAGTTGTCGAACCTGAACTTGATTCAAACATGACTATTGATTCAATTTGGGTTCAGTTCAATGTTCATGAACAAGTTCAGGTTCAGGATTTATATAATACTTCTTCCCCAATACTTATCTTTCCCACTATTTTATCCTTCACTAATATTTACTTTCCTGACATTTAATTTTTCCAATATTTATTATTTTCTGATATTTGCTTTTCCCTAATATTACTTTTTCCCAGCATATATCCTCTTTATCATTTACTCCTTAATATTTTTTGTACTATGTTCTTTCTTTTTTTACCACTTCTTTCCTAATATTTTTCTTCCCAATATTACTCTCTCCTAACATCTCCTCTTTTCTACTATTTTCTTTTTTCTGCAATAAATTGCACCAACATATAAATTATTATGTATTATTATTATAGACTCTATTCAAACTATTAGTTTATTAATCATTTATTACATAAAAGCTACCTCTAAACAAATATTCAAACTTGTCTATTATTATTAGAACTAGTAATAGGATAATATTTGTGAAACTGTGATATTAGTAAAACTGGTAATATTACTAATATTGCCACCAATATTACCAGTTTCACCAATGTCACCAGTTTTACCAATACCACTAGTTTCACCAACACCACCAGTTTTACCAATATCACCAATAACACCGTTTCACTAGTTTCACCAGTTTCACTAATTTGACTATTATGGTGCACTGATGGTGCACCAGTTTCACCAGTTTCACCAGGTGAAATTAATTAGTTTTACCTGCAACTCTAGGTGCAACAGAGTTCACAGTAGATTGGCATGCTAAAGGTAAAGAAGTGGGTATAGAAACTTTTGGTCTTGGATTAGTAAAAATAATATCTAATATGTATTTTCGAATAAGCAGATTATTTTCTTTAAGCCAACTAGAAGCAGGAATCAGAGAATCGTAAACTAATTCAGAGGTTTGTTAGCATTTAAGTAAGCATCAACCAAGCCAGAATACAACTCTAAAGTTCTTTTGTTGTGAAAAACATTAATTATCTCTTTTAGATGTTGATAGTTAGTATAGCAATTTGAGCCTACTGTTCTGCCTAGTAAGCAGTCTAAATAAACAGATGAAAGATATCTTCTATATAGTGTAGAAACAACATCAATTTCAGAAGGGATGGATAATAGAATCAGAGGATAACGGTACATTTCTAGATTTTTACAACTGTTACAAACAGCTACCTAATCATTGTTTTTTTATTAGTTCATGTGCACAAAGTGATATCAAGAAAAATATGCATTAATATATATAATTCGATTTCGTTATAAAGGATTTATACAATAGCAGATTCTTGCATAAGCATTGAACAATAAGCACAAGGGGTATTTGGATGTTCGAATAATATCTTGAAATAAAATTCATTTAAAAGATATATAAAACCAGGTAACGAAACTCATGGAGAAAAAGAGGTAAAAGTGTCAAGAGGTAATTCGTTTATGTCATGTTGAATAGAAAGATCATTTTGGAAGGGTGCATTTGATAAATTTTGATTGATTTCGTTTCGATAAATGTAAGGTTCAAAAGAAATAATAGATAAATTTTCAGAAGTATCAGGAAAGTTTGAAACAGCAGAATGGGAATTTTGGTTACTATTAAACATTTTTTTGTGAGTCAAAAATTGATAGTTAAATAAATTAAATTATTGTTTTTTATTTATTTACTTATTTTTTTTGGAGAGAGATGAGTCATTTATTTATAATGAATTGGTTTTTATTTTTACTATTATGTATTTCGAAGATTGGTAAGTAAATAATGATTGTATTAAACAATCTGTTTATTGATATGATTCACAAAGATTTTCTTTGTTTATAGCGATTAAGATGTAAATCTAAAACATAAAGAGAATCATATTAATTTTTTTTTTAATAATTTAATAGGAATATCCATTATAGTAAAACAAATTTAAATAAAAAGACAAAAAAGCAAAAGTAGAAGTAAAATAAAGAAAAGATAAATAACAAAAATGAAAAACACAAGTGTTATTGTTATTTTAGAACAAGCAGATAAATTATCATGATATTATAAAGAAAAAGAGAAAAAGAAAAAAAGGAAACAGTAATCTATTATTGAATTATATCTTTATTTTGCTAGATCAACTCAGTCTCATCCTTATCAGTTTCTTGTGCAGTAGAAATACTAGGTTTAATTTGAGAAATGGCTTCTAAAAACTTGTTGTTAATTAATTGTGCATCATCTTTTGATAGTTTTGAGGAGGATGCCAATAATTGATCAATTCTAAAGTATTTTTTTAATTTTGTCTTCATATATTTTTCTTCTATACTATCTAGTTTATTATCAAAGTTATTCTGGAATTAAAGATAACAAAAGATTCATCATTATACAATCAGAAACAGAGGATGAATAGAAATAGATAAGGTAATAAAATAAATAAAAAATACTTATTTTTTTTTTATTTTTACATGTTTTAGCTACAAATGTTTATTATTTGCTTATTACGATTTATTATTACTCATCATGATTTATATATTATTATTATTACGTAATAAGATCTGACAGAATTAATTTTTAAGGATAAGTAACAATATGTATCGATAAATACTTATCTCTAGCAATGATTACTGAATTACAGCTAAATTCAAGATTTGTAGATTACTCTAAAAATCTATTCTGAGTTATTGTCAGGATGGTAAGTAGTGAATAATCATGAGTTATAAATCATATATTATATTAAAATACGTATAATAATACAAAAAATCAATACAATACAAGTAATTTCTAATTAATGGTTTTTCTAGACCATGTTCTATTTGATACTGATATCAATATAATATATAATTTAGAATTCGTAATTACCTGTTACCAGCCATCTAGACAATAATTCAGATAAATTTTTAGAATATTAAATTTAGCCATAATTGTATTTAAATTCAGATTTAACTAATCAGACTTAATTATTATTATCTGAGATTGTATAATTTTACTGTCGGATGTGTTTGATAATGATTTTTCTATATAATTCTACTTTATTTTGAATATTACAATATAGGTATTTTATTTAAACCTATCTTAAATTTTCCTACAGTAGATAGTACAGTTTTGTTGAGATTATCTTTTAATACATTATACCTGCTATAGTTGTTTTTTTTTTTTTTTTTAATGTTAAGGTGATCACTTTGGGGTCTGGCATGTTTTATTAAACTTTGGATCGAATGCCAGGGCAGCCACAGGGCTACCCTGACTTTGTTATATTAACGAGGATACATACTAGCCATATGTACAACTTTTGGTTGTCTATTTAAGCAGTCTTGCATATGTAACCCATATGAACTACACTAGATGTCGTACCTGTAGCCCACTATTACTTGAGCTATCCAATTAAGCCCTCTGATCAACTTAGTGCCGTCGGGATATTCTCCCCAAAGAGGAACTGCCGCTAAGGCCCCTTAGGACTTTAAAGCAGACATGCATTCCCATATAGGGGGGTCTTTTATCCTTGTAATAAACCTACCAAAGCGTTTCATATCCCACACATGTATCACCTAGATTTTTGGTAACTTATGACTAGGCCATGACCAAGTACTTGCGGCTTTTTACCTCTACTATTATTACCTACTCTGTGCCCTTGCAAAGTTCACTCAAACCCCAGCACCTACTTTATGGACTATTAACAGTACTTCGATGCCAACCGTCAGTGCCCCAAACTTCCAATCCAGATGGCCCAGGAGGGACCAGTAGGCATCCTCTGGTATTCCAAATGAATTCTTTTCCTCTGGCTGATCCGGTGGCCTGGTTGGTGTAGTGCTTGCCAGATACTCGGTCCTCGTTCAGTTTGTCTACAGTGTCCAGTTCCCCAGATGATAATCCTTTACGTAGCGCTGTCGAAGATCTGTGCTACCTCTCTACTCGGGACTTTTCAAGCGGGCTTCCATATCCCCCGATCCCTTAGATTTATTTGGCTACTTCACTCGGGTTTTGTGTAACTTATATGTCACTCTATATTCCACAACCTCCCAATATAAGTTGGTGAGACCAAAGTCACAGGTGCTTACCCGATCAATATGTTATACAGTTTTACCGTAACGCATTTCTGCAAATTCGAATTTCGTCGCTAGTGGGATTCGAACTCTTGTCTTGCTGCTTGGGGGTGCAACAACTTATCAACTACACTAAGTCGCCACACTCTTACCTGCTATAGTTGTCAAAATATGATATAAGAATACTTATATCTATATTTCAGTTGTTAATAATACTATTGTAAAATTTTTTGGATAATATAAAGCTTTTTCTACCACCATTATTATCAGAATAAAAATTTGGTAATGCAGAAGAAGAAAGCATTAACAGTGAAGCAGAATACAGAAGATCATCGTGAGTTAGTTTATTTTTATTTTTATTAGGCATAGATATACTTTGAATCAAGGTGAGCTTAAAAATAGTTCAAAATATGAGTATCTCACAAGGCATGAAACTTCATAAGCAGCTATACACATATGTACATATTCAGTATCATTTTCATACATATAATGTTCTATTATTAGGACAATCAAATTTTTTTCAAAATCAATAATCAAGGATTCCGGGCTTCTTGTATAACTTTTATAGATAATTTGTCTAAATCTGTTTACTATATTATTTATTCTATATAACGTGTTGCTGATTAAGTAATTTTTATTTCCACTAACTAATTTAATAAAGCAATAAGATACAAATACAAAAGATATCAGGTAATTGGTTGAAAAAAGATAAAAAATAAGAATTTTAATTTTTTTCAAAGGAAATAAAGCAAAGACCAAACAGCAGTCAAGAAGCTGTACATTATTTATAATGAAATGAATTCTGCTTTTTTTTTAATAAACCATTATACTATACCAAAAAGCAAAGTCACAAGAAAGATTGTTTTTCAAGGTCCATCATAGATCTCTTTGTAAAAAGCAATCAAACAGGTTTTCATAAATTTTATATACTCGATATCAAACTATTTTATCTTATTATTTTTTTTATATTTATTGAATTTTATTTTAATCAAAAATAATAACAAAATATATGAAAAAATCAAAAAAATATTAACCAACCACCCGATAATAAACAGGTTGTTTAGTTTAAGATGATGAATCAAACAATATCTATTTCGTATAATAAAAAAATTGATAGAACATTTTCAAATCCTGCTGTTTCTGCAAGCATTAGGACTATGACCAGATATAATAAATGCAGAGCAAACTTTTACTAATACGAATCACGCAAATATATCTTTTTTAAATCGGCTATATAGCAGCATAAAGATCTCCTAATAGGTATAGACAAAAAACCAATAACAGAACCTAATGATAAGTGCAAATAAGCAAATATTCATCATAGGTTAGTAAGGTTTTTTTATCTTTTCAGAAATATCAGAGTGCAATTGATACATATTAACATGAATTAACAACAAAGCCTGATCAAACAAAATACAAAAAAGTTAATCAGAGCAAATTAGCAAAACAGAACTTCATGATATAAATAAGACTCTTATCCAGAAAGCAAAATAAAATAGAGCAGTAAGGTATGATCATAATCAATGATCAATAATAAAGGAAAAAAAACAATCAACTAAGAAAAAAGCATAATCAATAAACATAATCAATGATTAAGAAACTAATATACAATAATACAGTTGCTGTATAATATTAGGGTATGCAAAAAGAGCAAAAAAGGTAAATTAATGCAACGTTCATCAAATATCTTAACCAGAAATAACAAAAAACTATCACAAAAACAAAACAGTATAACACAAAAACACAGCTATCCTACAAGGGTGTTAATAATACTTAATATGTACTATAGTGGATGTGAAGATCTAAAAAGAATAAAATATAGCAAATTTTTTCTGTATTTAAGAATGACTAAATTATTCTTCAATTTGGTTTAAACGAATGCTATAAATAGCAAGATTATTAAAATATTATCATATGGTGAATAGTTACTTATAGAGAATAACATTTATTTTCATTTAATAATGTAGGTTGTTTTTGATTGCTTGATCAACAACAATTATATATGATCATCTCTTCTATTTGGTAGTTTCAGATTAATATTAAACCTAGAGGTTTACAAATTTAGCATAAACACTATGTACAAATAATTTTTTTAAAGTTTCATACAATTAGGTTTACAAAATAGATAAATATCAGTCTCTTCTAGGAATGTCTTTTCTAGTTTTATATTGATAGCAATTTCTGACATAAAGATAAATTATTCTATTATTAATATATACTTATTTTCAAAGATAATGTCTTATTATTTAACTAATTTGAAAGTTAAAGAACTTAAAATTATTTAAACAAGCAAAATGCTTTCTCAAGAAATTAAAGACTTTGGCTATATGAAAATTTAATTTATCAATTTAGATTAAAAAAATCAAATCGTCCAATCAACTAATTTATTAAATTTATTAAATTAAATAAGTTTAAAAATCATGTAACATATGGTATATAGTAAAATATATGGATTAATACAAACTTGTAAAATTAAATAGTATTCAATATACTAATAAAGGAAGCCTTTGTAAGTTTTTAAGAACAGGCAAAACATAATATGATCATGAAAATTCAAAACAAATATTTATTTTGTCAAAAATCACAAAAATCAGCATAAGCAATCACCTTTAATGCATTAATAAAAATTTTTATCAAGCAATTTTATTATGAAATTACTCCTTTCTGATTCTTAACTCTAATCCTAACTCTAGCAAAAATGAACTTTAAAGAATTTTTACTATATCACTACGAATCAGATTTCAAGATCAGGTGAAAGGTAATATGATCAAGAAAATTCAAAACAAATGTTTGTTTTGGCAAAAATTGCTTACATCTCAAAAATCAACATAAGAAATTACCTTTAATGCACTAATAAAAATTTTTATCAAGCAATTTAATTATATAAACTAATTCACTCTGATTCTCAACTCTGACCCTAATCCTAACAAAAATAAACTTTAAAGAATTTTTGCTGTTTCACTATGAATCAGATTTCAAGATCAGGTAAAACATAGCACGATTAAAAAAATTCAAAACAAATGTTTGTTTTGTCAAAAATTGCTTACAACTCAAAAATCAGTATAAGAAATCACTTTTAATGCTCTAATAAAAATTTTTCATTAAGCAATTTTACTATATAAAATACTCTTCTCTGGTTCCTAACTCTGACTCTAACCTTAACAAAAATGAACTTTAAGGAATTTTTGCTGTACTATTATAAATCAGATTTAAGATCAGGTAAAATATAATATAATCAAGAAAATTCAAAACAAACATCCATTTTGTCA